TCCTGTACGTACAAATACCTCCTTTTAGAGTGACTGTACGGCGCATCTCATCAAAAAACAGGCTGGTTAAAATTTTCCAATAGGATTTGGAATATTTTTACTACTCATAAATGTATACACTTTAAGAAAATTACAAGTTTTATAAGTCAATCATACCAGTCTGATAATTTCATTGAAATCAACAATTATTTATGGCCCATAAATAACTACATCGCAACTTGTTTGGTTTCCACATTCCATGCTTTATACGCATGCATAGTTTTCATAAACAAAGCAGCATGGTAAGAAAGGGAAGCCCATGTAGGCCTGCTACATTGACAAAGTCGACCAAAAAAAAAAGAAAACAAAATAGGGCATGAAAAAGCAACTTTCATTTTCTTTGCAGAGGTTGCACATATTGAAATGAAATTTTATTACACATTTTTCTCATAAGCATTCCTAGGTCAAATTTTGTTTTGGGTAGAATCGAGTAATTTTAGACAAAGTTATCCCTATTGTTTTTCCAAGATTCTTGAAGGTCAACGTTCACCTAAGCTGGTTTTTGTTTGTATGGTGTTTAACGTCCCTCTGCTAAGACACAAGACCTCGGGTTATACATGTATGTCTAATCCGAAGGACCGGTCTCCGTATCTTCTCCACATATTCGACCTACAAAGAACAACTCGCCCGTGTTTGCTCTGCTTCTGTTTTGTATTGTTTTATGGACTTTTGCTCTTGAACACTGTTTGTTAACTCTATTATGTTTCATTGTAAATAGGCTAGCACAAGGTATTTACGCAGTTGGTTAAGGAAATATATATTTCAAATGAAGGGAAGTCCACTTCCAAAATTAATGTATAATGGTGAAGAAAACCACAAGTACGGTTGCAGAGGGTCATTAAGGCCAAACAAATTAATCAATAGTTTCTCAGGCCAAAAAATTCAATGCGGCAGGCAGGCTTTTTTTTTAAGCAGGTCTTACACCTTTTTTTTTTTTTTTAGCCATTTGTTCATTAAAATGATAATATCTACTAATTCTTAATTTTTGTTCTCTGAAGTTAGTTATAATTTGTTTCTAACTTGAAATAAATAATGTTATTCTAAACATTTATTTAAAAGTAAATTCATAAAATATTGTAAATTTAGAAGAAATATACAGGTTTTCTAATAAGAACGTCTACCTTAGCATTTCTGAAAAGGGCAATAACTCAATTTTCTTTTTCAACTTGGGAAAATAGAAAATCGAGTTATTTCCCTTTTCAATATGTCAATAAAATTGATCAATGCGGCCGTTTTTGAAGTGATGCGGCGGTGCCTGAGAAACTGTTAATTAATTTTTTTGACCTAATATCTTCATATCAGAAATTACTGAGACAGAAAAATTGAAACATGCGTGGAACCTTACAGATGTACTTTAATTCTGAATTATTCAAGGTTACTGTACTATTTTTTTTAGGTCACCTGAGTTGACCGATTGCTATCCGTTTTCGTCCGTCGTTCGTTAACATTTTCAGCTTCTTCTCTGAAACCACTGAACCAATTTTAACCAATTATGGCATATAGCATCTATGGGGAAAGGTGAAAAAATTGTAAATTTCATTTTCCCTGTCCTCCCCCTTGGGGGTGGGGCAAAAACCATTAAAGTTAGTGCAATTTTTAAAAAATCTTCTTTACTCCTGGACACCAAACAGTCAAACTGTTTGCATGACTGTAATCTGCATTGAGTCCTCTACCAAAATTTCTATTGCCCCAGGGTCAGGGCTTCTAGTGCTAGGGCAGGGCCGAATAGGTTATATAATGAAAATGCATTATTTCTTTGAAATTCTTCTTTTCTGCTCCTGGGCATTAAATAAACTGAGTGCATAGTTGAGTTGAAAATGACTGCCTCTTCCAAAATTGTGAATTTCATGGCCCCAGGATCAGGGGTTTCAGTGTCAGGGCTTGGCTATATAGATTATACAGTGAAAATGCATAAATTCTTTGAAAATCTTCTCTGTTCGTGGGCATTAAACTAACCAAGTACATAGTAATGTTGAATAAGGCTGCTTCTGCCAAAATTGTGAATTTCATGGCCCAAGGGTTAGGGGTTCTAGTGCTAGGGCGGGGCTATAAAGATTATATAAAAAAAAGACGAGTTTGTGAAACACTATGTGCCCAGCGGTAACCAAGTTCGAGAAAGCTATTTTTAGCATATGGGTCACATTCAAGGTCAAGAGAAAATTGATCTTCGTGTCATTTGAAAGAACGTAACTAATTTAGTATGCAAACCAAATATGAAGTCTCTATCTCCTATGGCGAAAGTTTAAAAGTTATTTTTAGCATATAAGTCACAGTCAAAGTCACAAGGTCATTGACCTTGGTGTCATTTGAAAGAACTTAATAAGCGAAGTAGGCATACCAAGTTTGAAGTTATGGTTCAAAAGTTATGGCGAAGGTTAAAGGTGACAACAGACAGATAAACAGACAGGAAAAAACAATATACGCTCCAGATCTATCAATCCGGGCGCATAAAAATGAACTATTTGTTTGAAAATATTCTTCTCTGCTCATTGCTAAATAAACTAATCAAGTAAATAGTTATTTTGAATAAGGCTGCCTTTTCGAAAATTGTAAATTTCATGGCCCCTGAGTTGTTGGGTCCTGGTGTTAGGGTGGGGATCTTTTGAATATATAGTGAAAATCCATAATTTCTTTAAAAATCTTCTTTCCTGCACCAGGGTATTAAACCAATTGAATGAACAATGTACATGTTTATGAGGAGGACGGATGTCTTTCATAGATTTGTGAATGTCAGGGCTTCTTGTGTTAGGGCGGGGCTCAAATGTTTATATAGTGAAAATGCAGGAATTCTTTGAAAATCTTTTCCTTTGCTCCTGGGTATTATGCCAATGATCTTAGTACATTTATGACGAAGAAAGCTGCTTCTTACAAAATAAATAATTTCCGGGCCCCTGGGACAGAGGTAATTGGGAAGGGGGGGGGGGGGAGGTACATAGTCTGAAAATAATTTAATGCTTTGAAATCTGTATTTTGGTTTTCATCGACAACATGATGAAATTAAATTTCTAAATTTTGAAAGATGTTGCCCCAGGGTCAGTGGTTCCTGTGGGATGGGGTGCACAACTGATAAAGCGGAAATGCATTTTCTCTTTGTTACTCAGATCTACCTCTGAATATTAAGTAACCAAAATAAGCATGCTTAGTGTATAGTTATGATAAGCAATGGTGCCTCTTTCAAAATTGCGAATTTCATGGCCTCTGGTTTAAGCACGAATCAAATTCAATTGTTGAAGAGTTGTTACATGATACTTAGGTGACCTATAAGGCCCATTGGCCTCTTGTTCATTGATATTCTAGATTGTGCAAATGATTGCATCTTAAGATACTAGAGTGCATAAGGCCTATAACAATTTTGTAACATTTTTCTAGTTATATATTTAGATCTATATACTCATTATTCCAGATTGTTTCTTGTGTTGTCAAAGGTATGTTAGCCCCAAGATCTGCTGTAATACTAACTTGGGAATTAAGAGGCATACATGTACCTTGCTGATAAGCAACATTTGTTGTTGCTGGAGCCGTAGATATCTGTTGCAGCTGAGATAGTGTGGTATCCACGGAATTGACCTCGAATGAGACTTGTAGGCCACTGGAATTAGCAGATAACTCTTGGCTACCATTTCCGGCATGCTGAATTTGGGCAGGCTCTCGTGTTGGTTGCGCCGAGGGTCCTGTTGCACTTGTAGGGGTCTGGCATAAGGCGATTTTGTCTTGGATCTCCTCGATGCAACCGCTATTAACAATCCCGTGCTCATGTTCTTGCAAATAATTAATAAAACGTCAGAGATTTGTTTATTGCTAATTGTAGATATTTAAACATGCATTATATTCAATCAAGTATTGAAAATAAAATTCTCTTTTTTTACAATACTATTTTCTGAAGAATTAGTAAACAAATTTTAAACAAATTCATTAAATATGAATTTATATTCTTGCCTTAAGCTATTTACATACATAAATTTCTTCGATTAATACAATACAATGTCGATGATACTGGATTTGTATTCTCAGTACTGATGATTTCGTCTGCTCCGAACAAGATGGAAGTTGAAAAGACCTGGCGCATGCTCATGAACACTCATGTACATGTACTATTAACCGTAGAATCGTAATGATAAAACCGCATAATTCCAGAAAACGGTTTGCACTTTGTAGCTATTTAAAATTTCACAATAGAAAGCAATAAACGTCATTCTCAATAACTGTATTTATCTTTTAGGGATAAATCTGATTATATTATATCAAGTTCTTGTGGGTTACATGTATTTCGAGTCGAAAATGCATATAAATGGAAGTAACTAGTGATAAGTGATTGTTTGATTCAATTTGATTGCATATTGTTTAACGTCCCTCTTGAGAATATTTCATATGGAGACGCCACCACTTGTCGATGGCGAGCTGCAAATTTTGTCTAATACTCGGCACTTAGGGACTTTGAGCAGGGAGGGATCTTTTTCGTGCCAGCACCGACTGCAACACGGGACCTCGGTTTATACGGTTTCATTAGAAGGACTCGTCTCCATGTCCAACAGTGGGATTCGATACGGTGACGTAAGGATCAACTCCTTACTTCGAGACTCTAGAGCAGACGCTCTAACAACTGCGCCAGGCTTGCGACTTGATAATGCACTGTACGTTGCCGATGTCTCTACATTGTAAACTTGTGTCGAGTTGAAGAACACACCCTGTATAAGCTTTTTATTAACTTTTGTTTAATTGAATATACACAAATCTGATAATAAATTAACGGGGTAAAATTGGTACCCATGGGAACACCACATTACTGAAAGGCAAGAATAGCTGTGTGTACAAGTAAAATATGCAGAATACATAATTCCAGACAAGTTTAATTTTGTTGTCACTTTTCTACGGAGTTCTCAATAAAGTTTCAAAATTTAGTTTTTATGATTTTTGATATATTTTTGCATATCTTACATAAGTGTTACATCATCTACTTGTAGAATATAAAGAAGCATTTAACATGTACGACAAGGACCACGATGGAATCCTATCAGTTCAGAAACTAGGAGCCGTACTTCGTGCTCTAGGCCATAACCCGACCGAAATCGAAATTCAAGAAATGATTGACGAGATTGACTCAGAAGGTATTTTTGATAAAATTGTCAAGTTGATAACACATGTATGCAATTATCTATTGTTCCTGTGAGGGAAAGAAAATTACGGAGAGACAGAACACTAGGATAGATAAGTATATTATCTTTTCTTTTTGGAGTTAAGGAATGTTTTTTGTCCCTGGTGCTAGGATAGGGTCACAACAGGTGTTCCAAGTATATGGGAAAATCTTATTAAGAACATTTTCTAGATCAGAATACTTAAGATGTTTCTCACTTCAAAGTTTACTGAGGTAGTGAAGTCGGTAAATTGTTCAAAACATAGCATCAGTGTAGAATGAGACCAAAATAGAAATAAGAGTTTAAAGTGAACATATTTTAAAATACTCCTCTAATTAACAATTGCAAAATCGTAAAGATGAATTAAATCTATGCGGAAATATCCTACGGTGGAATGAATTTAAGTTCCTTTGAAATCTAGAAACCTAAATTTTGGAGGGGCACAATTAAAGATAAAAATTAAAGACCTTTTCTGGAATAGTTTAATCTTATTAGTCAAATATGTGTGGAGAAGTTCCACCTGGTTATACAAATTCAATTCCATTCACATCATATAATATATATATTATCAAACTAAACAATAACAAAAAGTAATAGATCTTTTAAAAGTTTAAGAGCCGAAGGTTCAATTGAGCTTTTCTGATCACATTTTACCCGTCGTTCCGTCCGTAGAAATTTCACATATTCTACTTCTACTGGGTCAATTTTAACCAGACGTGGTACAAAGCATTCTTGGGTAAATGGGAGTTTAAATTGTTAAAACGAAGGGCCAAGTCTCCTCACAAGGGGAGATAATCAAGTAAAGACAAAAATTGGATGGGGTCATTGAAAAAATCTTCTCAATAACCACTTGGACAGAAAAGCCGAAACTTATGTGGAAGCATCCTCGGGTAGTGTAGATTCTAAATTTAAACATGATATGACCCCCTGGGGTTGGTCGGGGCCACAATAGGGAATCCAAATCTTACATAGAAATATGTAAGAAAAAATTTAAAAATCTTCTTTTCAAGAACCATGTGGCCAGAAAAGCTCAAACTTACGTGAAAGCATCCTGGGGTAGTGTAGATTCTCAATTTATCAAATCATGTGGGCGGGGCCAAAATAGGGAATCCAAGTTTTACATAGAAATATATAGGGAGAAAAACTTTAAAAATCTCGAACCACTGAGCCAGAAAAGCTGAAACTTATGAGGAAACATTCTCAGGTAGGGTAGATTTTATATTGTTCAAATCATGACCCCCGGGGTTAGGGCGGGGCCACAATTGGGAGCCAAAGTTTTACATTAAAATTAATAGGCAAAAATCTTTTAATCTTCTTCTCAAGAATCACTGGGCCAGAGCAACTGAAACTTAAGTGAAAGCGTCCTTGGGTAGATTTCAAATTGTTCAAATCATGACCCAAAAATTAAGGGTGGGGCCGTAATTTGGAATCGAATTTTAACATTGAAATAAATAGGAATTTTTAAAAAAGAAACCTTCTCCGGAACTACCGGGCAAGAAAAGATGAAACTTATGTGAAAGCATCCTTGGGTTGTGTAGATTCTAAATTGTTCAAACCAAGACTTCCAGGGGTAGGGCAGGGCCACAATTTGGAATCAATTTGGTTTCACATCGAACTATAAAAGGAAAAAAAACTTTAATAATCCTATTTACATGAACTACTAGGCTACTGAGCTGAAACTAATGCGGAAGCAGTCTGGGGTAGTGTAGATTCTAAATTGTCCAAATTATGACCCGTGGGGTCACAATAAGTATTACTAGCGGGAAATCTGGTAAAGAACAGCATGGTCAAAGCTACTCAGGTGAGCGATGTGCCCATGGACCTCTTGTTTCATTAGGCACAGGTTTCATCGACTTTGAAAGTTTCTTGGATGTTGTTATGAGTCGTGATTTGGACGAAGAAGACCATGAGGTTGCGCTTCGAGAGGCTTTTAAAATGTTTGACAGGGACGGTAATGGTTACATTGATGCAGACGAACTACGCCTATGTATGATGAACCTAGGAGAGAAACTGACACTCGAAGAGGTGGAGGAGATGATTAAAGAGGTGGATGTTGATTTTGATGGGAGGATGAATTATGAAGGTATATCAATGAGAAAAGGCCATTCAAAAAATGTTAATTTTTAGGTAAAAAAAATGACTACAAAAATATTGATTTTATTTCCTCACATCCGGAAAATTCCGTGCTAATTGAATTTTTTTCCCATTTCCATTCTCTTTTTCCTTCATATTTTACATCTGATAACTCTGTAATACAGAATAAACCAAAATAAAAAAAATTAATTTTCCGCTCAATTTCTTCCATGTTCCGCCTAAAAATTTTGACTTCAATAAGATAATATTATTTAACCGTTTGTCCACTCCTACTATATTTCATCAGATGTCCGACAAACATGAAATTAAATTGGTGTGGCCTTATCAGTTTCAATTGAAATATAAATCAACATCTCTATCTTTTCAATAGACAATTTTTAAGGCTTGATAACCATTTTTCCTTGCGTATATGACTGTCGAATGTTTTTTTCATATTTAATACCTCTGACAGTTTAAAATCCAAAACATGGGAGAAAGTACTTGATCAAATGGGGGCCTTTTAATCTCGTTTCTCGGTAGCTAAGAAAAATTGTTGGGAGTTTTCAACAGATCAATCGAAGCAGAAAGAAAAAAAAATCTTTTATCTCTCTTAACTTATAGTTTAAATCATGCACGTCGCTGTTGAGAATAGTAGCCTCAATGACATTGCATGTTGACGTTCTGGTCAAATTGTCATTGGCGACAATATGCATTAACACACTTTGCAAACAGTGTCGTCCATCGGAATATATTGTCGTTGGCTGAAAATATATATAATGTATGACTTTTAGTATATATATCGATGACTGCGACAGAAGTACAGGGCGACAAAATGCTTTAGATAAAAGATACCACAGAGTCTGTTTCATATTTTAATATTTTACTAGAAAAAGACGTTAATGGTAATCTAACAACCAAGCTCTATGATTAGCGTGATGACTTTTACTTTTCTATCGTCAACTTCCCTTACTTATGCAGCAATATAGTTATACCTTCATTACCTGCATACGGAGCTTATGTATCTCAGTTGAATAAATACGCAAGAGCATGCTCTATACCTATGAACAATTTCTGAAACGAGGTAAATTAATAACAAACAAGTTGCTGAAACAGGAATTTCAGCAGTCTCGTTTAAAGTCATCATTTTGTAAGTTCTGTGGTCGATACAATGTCCTTGTCAGCAAATACAATTTATCATTGAGTCAAATGCTGACTGACGTTTTTCATACTGATTGTTAATTAGTTCATTATTTATACTCAAAATTGACGACGGATTTTTTCGTTTTTTCCCGATCATGGCAAGGAGCAAACGACCGGTTTGACCGGCAGGGGATGCTCATTCATCCATGGTACCTAATGTCCCACCTCTGATTTTTAGCTCTACTGGTCAGAGACCAGAAGAGCTTATGCGAAGGTGTCCGTCGTCCGTCCGTCTGTCTGTAAACAATTTTTCAAAACGCTACTCCTCCTACAGTTTTGGTCTGATTTCAATATAACTTGGCACACAAGTAGACTACACAAAGATATAAAATTTAATGCATCGTTTTTTTGATTTCGATGAATGGTTTTGCCATGGTTACTAAAAATAGAAATTTCTGTTCAATTCCTTAAATTTACCATAGAAAATGTTTCCAACTTTATTCATTCAGAATTTTAATGAGCAGGAATTAAGCGACTCTATTTTGTATAAAATTTTAACGATCAGTGTTACATTAGAGGTGTTTGTTCGAGCTTGTCGGAAATGTTTGCTCTAATCGTAGTCTTAAGATTTTTTTTTACACTTAATCTCTCTTGCATTGGTTCATTTCGATATCAAATATCCCCCTTTTTCCAGGCATAAACTTTTTACTATAGAAATGTTCAGTGAAGCCCCACACATTTTGTTAATGTAATTAATGTAGTAAGTTAGTTAAAAAAAAATAGTACTGAAAGGCGTTGGAGATGGAATTTATCTCCCCTCTAGAATCAAACAATTGTCTTCTCTTTTTCGGCATGTCAAATTCTTTTCAGGTAAGTTAATTCTCCCCCAACCCACACTTTCATATTCGATTCAACGTCACTGGTACATATGTCAGCGGTTTTCGAGAATGAGAAACTGAACATGACTAAATCAACTTGTTATTAAGAATGGGGGTTGAATATGTACAAAATATATCGTTTATGATAAATTTTGTTTACTTTAATCGAAAATATATTCCGTTTTCCGTTCCGCTTTCTAGCAACACCCGATGGATCATGAATAAAATTAGTCCGTTGTCTGTCGTGTTTGTCATCGTTGTGAACTTCCACATTTTCATCAAGAATCTTGCAAATAGTCTACGGTTTCATTGATAAATCCGCAGTATTAAGCGACTGTTAACTGGCCATTGTTTTTTATCCGATTTTATACGGGGGTTATACTGTTTTGCTCTTGTGTGTTTGTCCGTCTGTCCGTAACAAACTTTTGGTCGCAGTTTTCTCGACAACTGCACATCGCAGATGCTTGACATTTTAACACAGTCTTCTCTGCGGCATGCTATACAGTGGGATACATTTTTGTTCAAATCTGATATCAACTTCCTGTTCATCCGTGCCTATGTCCGTTTCATGCATAACAAATATTCGTTGCAGTTTTCTCACCAATTGCTTATCTCAGATGCTTAAACATTTAACATATTCTTTTCTGATGCATGCCACATAGTTGGATTCATTTTTCATATCCGATATCAACTTCTGTTCATCCGTGCGTCTGTCCATTTCATACATAACAAATTTTGTTTTCTCAGCAACTACTTATTGCAGATGCTTGAAATATTAAAACATTCTTCTCTGAGGCATCCTACGAGGGCTGTTCAATAAATAATGTCCTGAACTGTATGACATACAATACAGATATCATATGACATTAATCTTGACTTTCTCTCGTTATTGAATCTTTACTGAATTCATTACAGTTTATGTGACCACTTTTCATCACATAGTTTCATCGTGAGAAGCTGGGAAACAAGGGCTTTTCGAGGCTTTTCGAGACACTGCATTATAAATGAATGGTAAAGAATCAGTAAACTAGAGTGAAAATAAAGGCTACATTAAAGCTGCTGTAAAACTTGTTAAAAATCCCAAATAAATATTCACTGAAATATGTGTCATTTACAGCAACCGATGCCTGTTTTATAGACAAATGAGCAGTTGGATTTTAATGATTAAAAAATTATATAATGGGCATCAAAAATGGGTACCCTCCTTGCCAACAAAAATTATAACAACTTATGTACTGTTTGCCAAATTTCAACAAATAATATTTGATGATGTATGATTGACTTTGAGACACATAGCAAATTTGATAGACATCATATCGGGAGTAATTTACACTGTTTTTAAGAAACGTTTGACATTAAAAAAGCTTGGTACTCAAAGGTCACCCTATATTTTGAAAAATGAGTGAAAACGACAGCGTGTACGAAAGTCTTAACAATTATTTTAAAATAACAGTATTTGTAGTTATTCACGTTTGTTTTATATCTAAACAGATTTTGGAACATGAAGCTATTGCTTAAAATCATCAAAACAAAATTTACCATAAGATGTACTTGATAAAAACTGCGAGTGTCTGACAAAAGCAAAGGTATGCAAGAGCACAAAGACAAACTTATATGCAATTTTCTTGAATATTAGTGGTAGTGTTGTTCAAATTCGTATTCGGGGAGACAGTTTAATATCTGGTGGAGTCTAGAAAGCAATTTTTTTGCAAAAAGATCGATAGGTTTATTTGAGCAAGGACCCAGAATCAGGAATCCACTACATTGAATTTCTTCATGACAGCGTCCAATCCCGCATGCCCTGAAGAGTAAAGGTGTTTTCGAGATAAACAGAAAGTTAATATTTTTTCAAATTAACAATATTTGCCAGATCTTTGACCTTTTGACTTGTTTCTATTTCCAAACTTTAAAAAACACCTTTCAGAAGGAAAAAAACAAGTCCGGAAAATCACTGGGTCTGCCATTTTCCAGTATACTAAGGGTTATACCCAAAAATGAGTTCTAAAAACAATCAGAAATTGGATAAAAAATGTTACAGACATGTGTTTGAATTAAAAGAGATTAATAAATAAAATCATGAAGACTAAATCATTAAAAGGCGTCGTTTGCTTCTTTCTGAGCACCGAGGACATTATTTATTGAACAGCCCTCGTATATGGTGGGATTCATCATGAAAGCTCAAGTGCGTTTTTCTGATCACATTTTGTCTGTAATCCGTCTGTCTGTACGTCTGTAACCTTTCTACATTTTCGACTTCTTCACCTGAACCACTTAGCCAAATTTAACCAAACTTGCCAAAAAGCATCCTTGGGTGAAGGGGATTCAAATTTATTAAAATGCAGGGCCACGCCACAATTCAAAGGGTTATAATTGAGAATTAGTGAAACTTTGGTGGCATGTTTTAAAAATATTCTTCTCAAGAACCACTATGCCAGGAAAGTTGAAACTTATGGGGAGTTATCCTTAGGTATTATAGGTTTTAAGTTTGTCCAAATCATGACCTCCGGGGGTAGGGCGGGACAACAAGGGACGATCAATTTTTATATAGAAATATATAGGAAAAGTCTTTAAAAATCGTCTTCTCAAGAACAGCAAAGCCATGATTGGTCTTACTTATATGAAAGCATCCTCAGGTATTGTAGATTCAAGTTTGTTCAAATCATGACCCCCGGGGGTAGGGCGGGACCACAATGGAAGATCAGATTTTTGCATAGAAACATATAGGAAAAATCTTCTTCTCAAGAACAAAAAAGCCATGATTGGTCATATTTATAATATGAGAGCATCCCCAGGTAGTGTAGATTCAAGTTTTTTCAAACCATGACCCCTGGGGATAGGGAGGGGCCACAATGGACGATTAAAGTTTTACATAGAAATATACAGGAAAAAACTTTTGAAATCTTCTCAAGAACAGCAGAGCCATGATTGGTCATATTTATATGAGAGCATCCATCCTTGGGTAGTGTAGACTCAAGTATGTTCAAATCATGACCCCTGGGGGGAGGGCAGGGCCATAATGGACGATCAAAGTTTCACATAGAAATATATAGGTAAAAATAAAAAAAAAATCACAGCAGAGCCATGATTAATCAGATTTACATTGAGGCATCTTCAGGTATAATTTTGTTCCAATGATAACTTTCGAGGGGGGGGGGGGGGGCACAGACTTAAAGGGTAAACAATGCCATTATAATTAGTCAAAGAAATATGCAAACATCTTAGTTAGTGTAAATTCAAGTTTGTTCAAATCATAGTCCGGGGCCCCTCCATTAGCCACAGTGCTCAGATGAGCGATGTGACCCATGAGCCTCTTGTTCAAATCTTACATCAGCTTTCTGTTAATCCGTGCGTCAGTCAAAGAAATATGCAAACATCTTAGTTAGTGTAAATTCAAGTTTGTTCAAATCATAGTCCGGGGCCCCTCCATTAGCCACAGTGCTCAGATGAGCGATGTGACCCATGAGCCTCTTGTTCAAATCTTACATCAGCTTTCTGTTAATCCGTGCGTCAGTCTGTTTCATTCATAACAATTTTACCGCAGTTTTCTCATCAACTACTCCTTGCAGATGCTTAAAATTTTAGAACACTTTTTTGTTTAGGCATGCCATATGGTGGGATATATTTTTATTCACATCTGTTGTAACTTCCTGTTTATTCTTGCGTCTGTCCGTATCATACATAATAATTTATTTCGCAGTTTTCTCAGCAACTACTCATCACATATGCCTGAAATTTTGGTACATACTTTTTTGAGGCATGTAATATGGTGGTATTTATTTTTATATAAATCTGACGTCAACTTCTGTTTTTTCCGTGCATCTGCCCGTAACTGAACTTGACGTGCATATTAACATGTTAGTGTATATTCACATCAGAGTAGGGGTATTACTAGTAGGCACTGGCTCACAGACTTCGTTTTTTTCTCACATGAGCTGAAAGCTCGAGAGAGCTTTTCTGGTCGCATTTTATTTAGTCAGCCCGTCTGTCCGCCAATACAGTGTACGTCCGTCTTTAATCTTTTCAGATCTTCGACTTCTTCAGTACTCCTCGGTCAGTATCAATCAAATTTGCCCCAACGCATCCTTAGGTGGATTCAAATTTGTTCAAATAATTGATCATGCTTTTTAAAGGGCAGATAATTCAGAAATTGTTAAAATTTGATGGCAGTTAAAAATGTTTATGAGGTACCACTGGGACAAAACAGTTCAAACTTTTTTGCATAGTGAAAATTCAAGTTTGTTCAAATGATTAGGGGTTGGGTTAGGGAGGGGCCAGAATTGAGGATCAAATATTTACAAAAGAATATGCAAGAAAAATTGTCCCTAACACCAGGAGGTCGCCCGCGTGGCACAGTGGTAAGGTCGTCTGCTCTAGAGTCGCGGAATAAGGAGTTGCAATTGATCCTTACGTCGCAGGACGAATTTCACTGTGGGGTATGTGTACCCGCCCTTTGGATGAGACCATACAAACCGAGGGTCCGTGGCGCGGTGGGTGCTGGCACGAAAAACATCCTTCACTGCTAAATGGCCCAGAGTACCGCGCATGGGTAAAAATTTGCATCCCTTCACCGGCAAGTGGCGGCAACTCAATAGGATTGAAAAATTAAATTCTCGCGAGGGACTTGGAACAACAGCAAAGTCATCAATTTTGTTATAATATTGATATGGATTCATCCTCAGGTAGTTTAAAAACTCAAGTCCTCCCATGTAAACTTTATAATACTTAATTAAATTGTGCTTTTTCCTAGGCAATGTGCTGAAGTGAGCATTGTGACCCATGGGCCTCTTGTTTCATCGACGAGAGGGAAAAGTTGAAACTTTAGAATTGGGAACTGGGCTTCTTATCATACTCTAACGCATTATTAATCTATTTTATTTCAGAATTTGTGAAGCTGATGTGCACGAAGTATCCACTAACGTAGTATGGAAACTCCAGAAACAGTCTGACGTGAAAGTTACTATTGTCTGATTTTGTTGCTCGTCTTCCTTACTGGAAAAGCGGATGATATGATAAATAATGAGATTCTATTCATCGAAGCCATTCTCTTAACAATTGATAAAGGATCTCATGAAATGAAAACAACTTTAAATTTTAATTCCAAGTTAATGTCATCTCATATTGGTGTCCACATGTCCACATGATGTTCCATGTTAATTATTTCATCTGTAAAGCGAGGATGAGAAAAAGGGGGTAAAACCCAACACTAAAAAAACATGCGTTTTTTACGAGGCATTTCACACCTTTCACAAAACAGCAACGAACAGATTACTTTTTGTATAATTTTAGAATATTTTGTATAAATTGAGCAAGAAAACAAATCAATGATGAGAGAGGAGATTATCTCAATATTATGCAAATAGTAAAGAACTGAAATTTCGTATATATACATGTGTATACAAGAGTCTCGGGCGACGCATGCTTTTTTTTTATTTACCGTTTTGAAAATAAAAATTGACAGTAAGCTTTATTCCTCGCTTAAGGCAACGTAACGAGAGCTATTATTATAATATATAACATTTTTAGATAAGTGATCGAAAGGATGACATAACTGTTTCCGTCGGGGTGACATAACTGTTTCCGGCGTGACATAACTGTTTTCGGTGTGACTCAGCATTTTTCAGGGTTTATAGCGAAACTTATTACATTTGTGATATAATAAGAAAACTTATTCAAAAATATTATATTATACATATATCAATGGCTTCGAGTTTGACATACCAGAATATTTTCCCCTCGGTGACAGGAAAGCCCTGGAGTGTTATGTTACCCGATGCCGAAGGCAGAGGGTGACATAACACTCCAGGGCTTTCCTGTCACCAAGGGGCAAATATTCTGGTATAGTCGCCCGAGAAGCCATGTGGTATATGTTATATGACATTTTTAAAATTAAAAGGAAATTTAAAATCATTGAAAATCGTTAAAATTTACACAAATAATCCAAAAATGCCTTCTTGACGTTAAAGAAATACGCCGTGTTGTTTACTTTTGCTTAGCAACCAACGTCATAAAATCTCGAACCCCAAACTAAAATGCGTAACGTAAAAACACGTGAACGTGATCAAAAGGCTGACATAACTGTTTCCGTCGGGGTGACATAACTGTTTCCGGCGGGACATAACTGTTTTCGGTGTGACTCAGCATTTTTCAGGGTTTATAGCGAAACTTATTACATTTGTGATATAATGAGAAAACGTATTCAAAAATGTTATATATGTATAATATCTCTCCCATCATCGTCTCAATGTAGCTTCACAGGCAGTAGTCGTACAGAAAAAGTTCCATACAACACATTTTGTGTTTCATGTATACTTTCAATATATCTAAATTAAATATAAAATCCATATCATATTTAAAAAAAAAATGGGAGACTGAGCCCATTTTACATGAATATCAAAAAAGACTGTGCTTCAGCGAACTCGCTTATCTAAGTCACGCTGACACACAACAAAGGTATGTTAGACCTCGTAGTTACATGTAACGCGTTCAGTCTTGCCAAATCCTGATCCTAAAAATCGTGCGTGAAGCCTTTGTTTACCTGTTACATACCTTAACACTGGGTGAAATTTTTTTTTTCAATATTTCATTCATTCATACGAAGGAAGCAAAATATATTAAAGATGAAAGTGGTGATACAATTTTCTGGAATACATAACTTTTTATGAAGTTTTAGAATTTAGAATTGGGAAATGTCTTACCCCAAACGAAAGATTGTCTTTGACTTGTATACCTCTATATTTTGAAATATAATTAATTTTTACAACTTCCTTTAAGTGAAGTCTAAGTAACACATACTTTAGTTAGAGATTGGGCCAGATGTGGAAAAACGTTTACTAAACCACAATAAATTCCCTTTCCATGATTTCAAAGCTGCATATACTGTTACATTAAGGTACCCGACCCATATATATTAGGACATGATTTTCCAACCTCAAATATCCATCCTGTTTACTCTAAAACAGTTTAGAGTAAAACAGGATTTACCAGAAGAAATTTTCAAAATGTATCCAGGGCTATGAGGACAAGCAATTCTTTCAAAATAAAAAAAACCCTCAATACTAAGACTAAAAGAAATGCTACATGGTGGAAAGATGTACATAATTATAACGAATAGAAAAACATTGAAAACAAATTTTTTACTTTATACATTTTTATGCGCCTGGATCGATCGATCCGGGCCGTATATTGTTTTTGTCCTGTCTGTTTGTCTGCAAACTTTAACCTTCGCCATAACTTTTGAACCATGAAAGATAGAGACTTCATATTTGGTATGCTTACTTCACTAATTAAGGTCTTTCAAATGACACCAAGGTCAATGACCTTGTGACCTTGACTGTGATCTATATGGTAAAAATAGCTGTTTGTCTACAAACATTAACCTTTGCCATAACTTTTGAACCATGCAAGATGGAGACTTCATACTTGGTATGCATACTACACTAATTAAGCTCTTTCAAATGACACCGAGGTCAATGACCTTGTGACCTTGACTGTGACCTATATGCTAAAAATAGCTTTTTGTCTGCAAATTTTAACCGTTGCCATAACTTTTGAACCATGCAAGATGGAGACTTCATATTTGGTAGGCATACTCCACTAATAAAGCTCTTTCAAATGACACCAAGGTCAATGACCTTGTGACCTTGACTGTGACATATATGCTAAAGTAGCTTTTTAAAACTTTCACTATAGCTTCTATACCATGAGAGATAGGGACTTTATATTTGGTATGCATACTCCACTAATAAAGTTTTTTTTTCAAATGACACCAACGTCGATGACATGGTGACCTTGACTGTGACATATATGCTAAAAATAGCTTTTTCGTACCTTCGCCATTTTTAACCATAAGCACTAATCAAGTTCTTGCAAACGACACCAATGACCTTGACTGTTACCTATTTGCTAAAAATAGCTTTTTCGAATTTTTTTGCCTTCGGGCGCATAGTGTTTCCCAAACACATCTTGTTTACAATTGATTTTTATTGATTAAGAGCAAAGAGGGATAACTATTCAAGGAAAGGTCAAGTTTGAAAATTAGGACACATTCCTCTTCATATACCGAGTAATTAACTCAATATGTATCTGTTATGGATTAAAATTTATAGATTATGAGACCGATTGTTGGTCAAATGCTTTAATGTTACAATTGTACATTTTATTGAAAAGGAAATTACATGTGAAAGAGGACTAGTGTATTTGGAATACCGTTTTCGAATAGTGACAGCAAAGCAGTGCAACTCAAGTTTGATGATGATATTCATAATGTCGGATGGATTGCTTTATGTGTAGAACTTAGTATATATATATAATGGCAAGTTTCGAGATTACCTCCCTTAGTGCACTCTTTCGTTGAAGGCAGTTTCTTTGCCGCGTAAACAGACAGGTGGGGCAGATTTTTATATATGGTGGTTTATCATAAGTACATGATTGCCAGGATGCACTCTTCAACTCGAATATAACCGAATTAATGTAAAGACGTCATTTTATAAAACAAAATAATCGGTACAAAAAAGAAAATATCAGTGGATGTAACTTTTCAAAACAGGAAATATGGACCTCTAATAAATACGGTACACTGTAACACGTGTATTTGATCATTGCACGGGAATCTAAATGACACATCGATTGCTTTATTATATCTTTTAAGAAAGGTTTGTACAATCGAGGATTTAAAAAAAATATGAGGGCTATGACAGTTCTTCCGTTTTCGGTTATCCTAATTGAAAGTAGCTTTGTACATATGCATAGTTGAGCTTGATAAAATCACCAAATGCATCATTGCTCAACATTATCTTTTTATAACTTTAAATGATTTTTAACATCGCTCATTTATTTATGCACGTTCCCTAACAATATAATACTATAGTTAACTATAGTTTACTATAGTTAACTATAGTAAATCAAAGTGTCAAAGTTTTCGTCAAAGTTTTTCAAAGTGTCAAAGTTTTCGCCAAAGTTTTTCAAAGTGTCAAAGTTTTCGCCAAAGTTTTTCAAAGTGTCAAAGTTTTCGCCAAAGTTTTTCAAAGTGTCAAAATTTCGTCAAAGTTTTTCAAAGTGTCAAAGTTTTCGCCAAAGTTTTTCAAAGTGTCAAAGTTTTTTCCAAAGTTTTTCAAAGTGTCAAAGTTTTCGCCAAAGTTTTTCAAAGTGTCAAAGTTTTCGCCAAAGCTTTTCAAAGTGTCAAAGTTTTATATAAAGTTTTTCAAAGTGTCAAAGTTTTCGATAAAGTTTTTCAAAGTATCAAACTTTTCGATAAAGTTTTTCAAAGCATCCAAGTTTTCGATAAAGTTTTTTAAATTTTCAATGTTGGCGATAAAGTTTTTTAAAGTGTCAAAGTTTTTGATAAAGTTTTTCGATGTGTTAAAGTATCCAAGTTTTCGACAAAGTTTTCAAAGTATTAAATTTTTCGATAAAGTTTTCCAAAGTATCCAAGTTTTCGATAAAGTTTTACAAAGTATCAAAGACTTTGATAATGTTTTTAAAAGTGTCAAAGTTTTCGATAAAGTTTTTTAAAGTGTCAAAGTTTTCAATAAACTTTTTCAAAGTGTCAAAGTTTTCCATAAAGTTTTTCAAAGTGATAAAGTATCCAAGTTTTCGCCAAAGTTTTTCAAAGTGTCAAAGTTTTCGCCAAAGTTTTTCAAAGTGTCAAAGTTTTCGTCAAAGTTTTTCAAAGTGTCAAAGTTTTCGCTAAAGTTTTTCAGAGTGTCAAAGTTTTCGCCAAAGTTTTTCAAAGTGTCAAAGTTTTCGCCAAAGTTTTTCAAAGTGTCAAAGTTTTCGTCAAAGTTTTTCAAAGTGTCAAAGTTTTCGTCAAAGTTTTTCAAAGTGTCAAAGTTATCACTATAGTAAATCAAAGTTTTAAAAGCGTCAAAGTTATCACTATAGTTAACCATAGTAAACTATAGTTAACTATAGTTAACTACAGTATTTTTTTGTTAGGGTTTGTATAGACTAATAGACTAATAACCTGTCCCACCTCCATGCTAATTTTTATACTTTTTGTGCCTCCGTCACGGGCGAGTTACAATCTCGAAACTCGCGTATTGCCACATCATATACATGTACATGTATCAGTTCAGTGGATCCGT